CCCCCCCCCCCCCCCGCCTCTTCAAGGGTGTTTCCGCTCCGTACGCAGACAAGGCGAGACGGGAGGCGCAAGACTACCACTCCGACAACTCTCACGACCCTCCATCCCCATCGTCTTCGTCGTCCTTCCTTTCATCGTCGACAGGTTCTGTCCCCTCCAGTCCATCCTCACCACCACGTCAGGGTCCGCCAAACCGGCATTGTGGTTGAAGCGCACTCCGCACACCGCCCACTCCGAGATGTAGTTGGGAAACACATCCAACATCAAGGGCGACTTCCCAAGGCCAAACAAAACAGCATTCACGGAGTTAACAATATGCCTGCGCCAGTTGAAAGACTGCAACCCTGCCAGTGTGGCCTTCGCGACGAGCTGTGAGTAGTAGGACGCCTCCTCATGAGACCGAACGTTGTCCCCACCCATACGCATAATCCACATGCACGCTGTGAGAAGGAGACGGAAGAAATCCCTGATTTCGTTCAACCGTGACTGGGACATCTTCCCATTGTCGGACCACTAGCCGCCGCGGAGCGCCTCTTCGAAACACGAGGCTAAATGCAAGACCATGGACTCCTAATGGGCAGCCATGTCATCGTCTGCCGACCTGTCCTCGATGTACAACCCAACATACCACAACAAAATACCCATCTTCAGGGCCACCGTGTGATAAACCACGCTATGAGAGACCACCATCGACCACTCCACAGACTACCATACTGCTCTCGCTAGATCCGTCAAATAATCAACTGAGACATACAACTCCGTGCGGACGAAACCATCGGATATGGAAGGGGACCTAAGGATCCAACCACGGATCACGCGCACGGCCACATTCTTCGTCTTCCTTGCCCTGCGAAGAGCTGGCTCGTACTACGCTGGATTATCGATCCAGAAGCGGGGGACGTCATTGGTTGGCATGATTAGGCCTGTGGGAGCTCTGGCGCCAGCATCACCATTGGCGATTGCGCATTAGTAGCCTGCTCAAGAGTGCACGGTGTTGGCAATAAGGTGACCAGGTCCGGTCCCCCAAAATGTTTTTCCGTTTGTCCATAGCTTCGACTTTGCGTCCAAGCCCTTTTGTCGCGATCTTTCTTCCTATTGGTGAGACGCTCGTTGTCGTCATCGTCAGCTAGTGGAGTACGATCCATCGTCTCGTTTTTTCTGCCTCCCTCCTCGCATCTCCCTTCTTCTCGCCTCTCCCCCCCGATGTTGGTGGCGCCCTGGACGTAGCACTTCCCATGTTTGCTAGTGGAATTACCCTGGCCGATAAGCCAGTGACGGTGTTCGACGGATCAACGCGACAAGCTTGTGCGGGTTGGAGAGGTAGTTTGTCAGCGCGTGGAATTATGCACAACAATGTTGTCACTAGGGTGACAGGTCTTTGACTCCCGAATCGCCGACGACAATCCCTTGCGTGCACAAGCTTCCACTACCATCGACAAGCGACATTCCTGGCAAACCAACCCCACTCAGTGAGATGAATTGCTCCTTCGTTATGCCGCATTTCCCGAACCCAAGTGTCAGCGCTTCCATCGAATGGACTTCCATGGCCGACATGTCTCCCCCTCCGTCAGCCCCCATCACACCCTTTGACCCCTATCCACGCGGCTTTTTGGACTTTGGGACGTGTCCCCTTATGATCTGCCTGCCCCCGCCTTCGCCAGATCCACTGTCTCGCTTTTTGGGCTGCGACTGTCCATGTGGCGCCATGAGTTGTCGTGAGATCTCACCTCTCCTAAAACGAATAGCGGACGAGAGTGCCACGTCACGTCAAGGACGCCGTGGAGAGATTGGTGATCGCTAGCCTACGAAGGCAGCGACGGACGCACCTGTCGTCAGATCACACCTGCGCTCGGATCGCGACCACGATGAGCACGTCGCGCGACGAAGAACGACGATGAGGCACGAGAAGACATACTCGTTGCGACACCCTGCAAATGCTGTGAATTACACCTGCGTCGATCCTTTATACTAGCTTGCATGACCCTTTCATGCCCCAACAGGCTTCCAAAGAGATGGCGTTTATTTCATGGACTTGTGCAGATGATTGAAGTCCTTCCGCGACCCCTAGAAGACCAAGATCCAAAGGTTGCTACGCCCATGTGAAGTGTCCACCTGCCCGTTTCGTCGGCGTGGACTCCTTGGAGCTATACGTCGACCAAGCCTTTTTTCCGGCTCCGGGACGGCCTAGCACCCCAAGCCACCCTTTCGCACTTCAAAAAAATTCCTACCCCTCGCTCTTCCCACCCCAACTTGCAAGAAGCCCTCCCGACATCCCCCCTCCCTGGTAACCTTCACCCCTCCCTACCGATTGGTCTGTCCACCAGCCCCGAGTCCTTGCATGTGTGCTTGTTTGTTGATGCAGGCAGGTTCCCCCTCTCTCTCTCTTTCACACATACACACACACACACACACACACACACACACACACACACACAATATGTGTGTGTGTGTGTGTGTGTGCGCGCGCGCGCG